TGGTAGGAATGACAGAGCTGTCACTAAAAGGTAGAGTCCCAGGTTTCTTTCCTGAAAATCCTAATCCAGCTAGTAGGATTGGGCCCAGGAAACTGTATTTAATCAAATAGGTGATTCTTATCAAGAATCCCGGGAAATCCTGCTGCAGTGGTACCCCTGGTGGCTGGCCAGTTTTATAATAGCAGGTAGGGATTGTTGGCGAACAGTTCAAAAGAACTAAGTCAGTGTAATCAAACTTGCTTGATAAGAATCAAGTAGAATAGTTACTTAAAAGAGGGATTCCCAGGGCTCTTCCCTGGAGATTCCAACTCTGTAGAGCTGAGGCTAGTTCCAGGAATCTGTATTTAACAAGAGCCCTGGAAACATTTGGCTAATTAGTTAAGATACATGTATGCAAAAACTGTAAGACTGGTGCCTTGACTTCTTTGGTCATAAGAGCAATGGCTGGAATTTGGGGTGCTTTTTAACATTCCATGGCTCCACGGGTGTCTTAGTTTACTGTGTTTTTGGTCTATATCTGCCTAGTAGACCTCAAACACCAAAGCAGACTAGTGCTTAATTTTGGTGTCCCATTTATATCCTAATATTTAGTTTTCTACTGGGAATCTTGCATTAGATCCAGAACTGAAATGCCGGCAGGTCATTGGGCTAATGGCATTCTATTGTTTTAATTTCTGGAGTGATGTGGAGACTCATATAGGTAAGTCTGGCTTCATGAACGGAAGGGTGCAGCAGCGGCCTGGTTTGTCCACATCTTCTTCTATCTGATAAAAAAGAAACTTGATTGAGATCTAAGTTTTACTAAGTTGCTAAGACAAAAAAGTGGGAATTTTCCGGCCAACCATTCTTGACTTAAAAACTAACAAAGGCAACTATGTGAAATGAATGCTAAATGTTGTTATAAACCTTTGTGGTGGGTACTGAGTTCCTAAATGTGGGATATTTAACTACACATTCATCACCATGTGCCACTTGCTTACCCATTGTGACAAAAGTGATTCCATTGCTTTCCTTTTTCTAATTAGTGAATAAGAGGCATGTCGTTCTGAAGGTTTGGGGTCTAAGTTCAGTCTATCAAACTAAAATTGCATATAGTAAAATTTCTCTTAAAAATCCTATAGAAAGGCATATTATTAAGATTGACACACTGGTCTTACTTGTGTTTCTCCAACAAACTCTGCCCATTCCCTCCTTTGGGCTTTCACCCATGCTATACCTTTTCACCAGCATGTTCTTCCCTTTGACATTCACACATTCACACCAGAGGTTTTTTTTGTTTTTGTTTTTGTTTTTTTTTTAGATGGAGTTTCGCCCTTATTGCCCAGAATGGAGTGCAATCTCATCTCACTGTAACCTTCCCCTCCCGGGTTGAAGCGGTTCTCCTGCCTCAGTCTCCTGAGTAGCTGGGATTACAGGCATGCTCCACCATGCCCAGCTAATTTTCTATTTTTAGTAGAGACAGGGTTTCTCCATGTTGGTGAGACTGGTCTTGAACTGCTGACCTCAGGTGACCTGCCCGCCTTGGTCTCCCAAAATGTTAGGATTACAGGCATGAGCCACCGCGCCCAACACACACTACAGTTCTTTAACATCGCTTGAATCCTGGGTTAAATGTCATATTCTCAGAGAGACCTCTTCTAGACACCCAATCCAAAGTAGCAAGTCATTCCCTACCACAGTGGTTCTCAAAATATGGCCTAGGAATGCCAGGGATTCCCCAAGATCTTTGCAGGGCGTCTGTTAGATCAAAACTGTTTTTATAATGATACCAAATCATTCTTTGCCTTTTTCAAGTAAACAGCGTGCAAAACTCTTTTACTGTCAGATGTTTTTCTTAACTTTTTAATTTGTTTATTATATGCCTTCTCCTAGGACTATCAACACCACAAGAGCAGAGATCATGCCTATCTTCTTTACTACTGTATTTTCAGAGTTTTAGATAAAGCCTAGCACATAATAGTTGCTCAATAAATATTTGTTAAATGAATGAAAAGACAATGGATAAGGAACAGGAAAAGAAAAAAAATCAAGAAAAGATAAAAACAACCGCAAGGGCATATAACAATGTTAAATGTTATCTGTACTCAAGGAAATAGGACTTTAAATGAAATTTTTAATAAAGCTATCAGGCCGGGCGCAGTAGTTCACGCCTGTAATTCCAGCACTTTGGGAGGCCGAGGCAGGTGGATCACGAAGTCAGGAGATCGAGACCATCCTGGCTAACACGGTGAAACCCCGTCTCTACTAAAAATACAAAAAATTAGCTGGGTGTGGTGGCGGGCGCCTGTGGTCCCAGCTACTCGGGAGGTTGAGACAGGAGAATGGCGTGAACCCGGGAGGCGGAGCTTGCCATGAGCCGAGATCGCGCCACTGCACTCCAGCCTGGGCGACAGAGTGAGATTCCATCTCAAAAAGTAAATAAATAAATAAATAAATAATAAAAAGTGATAGTACTTGGTGCTGGTAAGGCTATAGTGAGATAGGAATTTCTACTCCTGGCTGAGTGTCTACTGTTTCACTGTTTTTGGAAAATAGTAAGAGCCTTCAAAATGTGCCTACCCCTGCTTTTTTTGTGTGCCTACCCTTTTTGAAGCAATAATTATACTTCTAGTGATTATTTTTTAAGGAAATAATTTGAAATATTGAATGCATTATTTATAGTAGTAAAACAGAAAAAAACTAAATGTTCAAAAATGCTTCAATGGTTACATCAATTATAATATATCCATGTAATGAAATATTTTACAGTCATTGAAAATAACGTTTGTAAATCATGCTTAATAGCACAGAGAAATGATTATATTTATAATTTAAATGAAAAAGCATGATTATAATTTATAAACACTGATCTCAACTATAAAAAAGTACCAAAAATACTGGCATGAAATACATCAAAATTGTAATAATCGTTATCTTCAGTTGATAAGATTATGGATGATTTTTATTTTCCTTATATTTTTCAAGTTTCTCACAATGAGTCTCTATTAATATAATAAGAAAGTTATTTTAAATCACAACACATATGCTACAATTTAATGGACAAAATGTTTAAAATTCTCAGTTGTTAAACTATCAAAAAAAAATTGGAGAAACAAAATGGCATAAAAATTACGATTTGAGCATTATGAGTCAGTCTGCCTGAATTTGACTTCTCAGCTATGTGATTAACTTGTAAGTCATTTAAATCCAAAATCTCAAATGTTTTCATCTGTAAGATGGGATAATATGACTTAGAGAGTGGCTATCAGGATTAAATTTTTTTTATATATATATATATCACACACACGTCTTGGCCTGGTACTTGATATCTGCTAACACTGAATAAACATTACTTCTTATTATATTTAACTACTTTTTAATCTAGACATATTTTGGAAAATAAATTTAAGATCTCCTGGCTTCCCGATTGCTCAGCTAATCAATGACCACTGACAAGATCACAGAGGTCTGTTTCTCATAGCCTGGATCTCCATACTTAGAGGAATATACCAAAGAAGATAAAACCAATACTCAGAACACGAGCCCATGGGGAAATTGGTGAAAGCTAATAAATAGACACCAGTGAGGCGTCATTAGTTTTTAAACTTTAAGGCTTAAAGGCGGCTATAAAAGGCAAGCTAAGTGACAGAAAACTCTGGCCACCAGAGACTCCAGCTATGCTTGGGGCTCTTAGCAAGTAGGGGAGAGTTTTCTCACTGTGCTGCCTGGGACACAGACAATTCTCTTTTTGTGTTCTATATCTAATGCCTGTTTCCTCTCTCCTGGAGCACCAACTGCTGGAGAAGACCCAGCCAGCAGCCTGGACGCCATCTTGGACATCTCACCCTTCCCCTTCCCCTCTTTCACAGAGTTGAATTTACCTCAAAATCCTGCTGTTTTGACCCCCTAAACATCTCTCCCTAATCTCCCCACTGCTTTCTGTCCTCAGTGCCTCTAGCCTGAAACTACAATCTCTTCAACTGTCTGCCTTCCAGCTTGCCCCTCTGCTATCCTCCTCACTATAATAAGGCTCCTCAAGAATTATATGATGTTTTCTCCCTTCTGTGGTAAAGCATTTCTATGATTTCTCCTCATTGTTGCCCTTTGGATAAAGCCTAAACTTTTGCTGAACTCATTAACCTTCTAGTATTCAAACACCTTAATTATGGAATTATGTTCAGATTCTTGAAATCAACAGGGTCTCAGTTCTATATTTTCTTCCTGAAACCTCTCCATGCTCAAACTCTGTCACTCCTCCCTCCCCCTACTCATATGTTATGGACTGAATATTTGCGTCCCTCAAAATTCATATGTTGAGGTCTCAACACCCAATGTGACCATATTTGGAAATAAGGCCTTTATGGAGGTAATTAAGGTTAAATGAGGTTATAAAAGTAGGTCCCTGATTTTATAGTACTAGTGTACATATAAGAAGAGAAGCTAGAGAACTCACTCTTTCTCTGTCTTTCTCCCTGGCAGGTGAGAACACAAGTGAGAAGGCAGCCATCTACATGCCAGGAAGAGAGCCCTCTCCAGAAACTAATCATACTGCCACCTTCATCTTGAACTTCACAGCCTCTAGAACTTTAAGAAAGAAATTTCTGTTGCTAAGTCACTTTGTTATGACATCCTGAGCTGACTAAAACGCAATACCCCGAAAGCCTCCACTTCCTCTCTCATGACATCTTTCAAAAGACCTCAACCAAGGCAACCTTTTCAGTAGGAAGCCTGAGGAAATGAGTACAATCCTAAATTACTCATCTGGGTATAGTACCCATCCCCTGACTCTCAGAGAACCCTGAGTCATTACCACTCTCTCTCACAACATTATTGCTTGCCAGGATTGGAATATGTCCCCTCCAACATTCAGATGTTCAGAATTAATGGACAATGTAATAGGATTAAGAGGTGTGACCTTTAACAGATTAGGCCATGAGGGCTCCTCCTTCCTGAATGAGATTAAGGCCCTTATAAAAGAAGCTTTGCAAAGCATTTGGTTAGCTTGTCCTTCTGCCAGCTGACATGTGATGATACAGCTTTGCTCCCCTCTGGAGGTTGCAGCACCAAAGTACCATCTTGGAGGCAGAAGAGACTGTTCCCTCCGTCACCAGCCAGTACTTTGATCTTGGACTTACCAGCCTCCAGAACTGTGAGAAAATACATTTCTTTTCTTTATAAATTACCCAGGTTGTGATCTTTCATTATAGCAGCACTAATGAATGAAGATATCACTTCATGTTTAATATCTGGAACCCCCATTGGACATAAGCACCATGAAACCAAAGAACCCGACTCTGCATAGCCCCGGGGTCTGTCATTTGGTCTGCTATGGTGATGTCTCTGTGAATATTTTGTTGAATTGATTTAAATGTTTGAAAGAGCATGCTATTTTCATTCATTCTTTCTCTTTCCTAGCCACGTAAAATCTGTATTGAAATTTTTGAAGAATATATTGAAGAAAGGATGAATAACAACTTTCTTATTTTTTACTATTTTTAAAGAAAAAGAACAACTTTATGTGCAGAAAATTAACTTATAATAGAGTGTAAAAGAATGATCTTTTATATGATTTATCAATATCTATGAAGCTAAAACCAAATAAAGGAAGAATTGTAAAAGTGTTGCTAAGACCAGCTGAGTGCAGCAGCTCAGGCCTGTAATCCCAGCAATTTGGGAGGCTGAGGTGGGTAGATCATTTGAGGCCAGGAGTTTGAGATCACCCTAAACAACATGGCAAAACCCCGTCCCTACTAAAAATACAAAAAGTAGCGGAGCATGGTAGCACATGCCTGTAATCCCAGCTACTCAGGAGGCTGAGGCAGGAGAATTGCTTGAACCCAGGAGGCGGAGGTTGTAGTGAGCCAAGATTGTGCCACTGAAATCCATCCTGGGTGACAGAGCGAGACAGTGTCTCGTAAAAAAAAAAAAAAAAAAAAAAATTAAGACCTTTATGAGGACTTTTTAATTCCCCTATGAATTGTAATACATAGTGGCTAAGAGAGAAACAGATTTGGAGTCAGGCTGCCTTCAGAGGGACCCTAGCTCACCATTCAGCAGGTGCGTGACCTTGAGAAACGGACTCGGTTTCTTTGTCACTCCATTTCCTTGGTTGTTCATTGGGAATTATTACCTGCTTCCTAGAATTATTGGGGAAATTAAATGAGATACCCGAGATCTTAGACTAACAGCCATCACAGAGCACATATTAAGTACTTAATAGATGGTAGCTATTATAATTTTTAAAATTAGAGAAGTTTAGGAAAAGGCAAATGTTGGTTTTGTTGCCCAACAGGCCACAGATTATGGGCTGGAACTATGGGTTAGGCACTGTTAAGAATTATGATTTCTTGGACTCTCCTTCTGAAGCTGCCATGTCCAGCACACACTATTTTATTTTATTTATATCCCTCTGTGTTCCAAAACGGGTTTGAGGGAGCTTACAGATGAATGTAAAATACAGCAAAGTAACATGAGTTAAAGGCAGAATGAAAGAAGAGAAAAAAGCAAGAGAAGAGACAGTAGGGCTAGAAATAAATAATATTTCACTAAAATTATGAGTGTGTTAAGGCTTATGATGAAATACTGAATCAAAGGAAGCTGGGATAGGAATGTTATTTTAATTTCTTCTCTACCTGCCCCCCTTTCATCTTATCTTTCTTTTTCAAGATGATTTAAATGATACTCTAATTTTTTTAAATCCCAAAGCACTTTAGTTACTTTAAGCATCAAATCATTCTACACTATGGATGAAGACAGAGTTTTAAATGTATATATATAGAGAGAGTGGATCTCCCTATGTTGTCCAGGCTGGTCTTGAACTCCTCAGCCTCCCAAAGTGCTGGGATTATAGGCATAAGCCACCACAACCAGCCCAGATTTTTTTTTTTTCATATTTTGATACATACAGCTATATTTAAGCTTTGTGAATAGGTGGACATATTAATTAATGATGATGAAGGAGCTTAATACTTATGCCCCTGTGACCTTCTGGATACCAGTCCAAACTTTCACTAAGTTTTTTGATATCACAACTTTGTGAAGTAATTAAATATTCCGTTTTACAGATGAGGCACAGAAGAGTAAACTACTATAGTTATAGGTAGCTAGAACTCAAATCCATGCCTGCCTCTGATGCCTGAACTGCCACCATCATCTTAGGCACAGCTATTTCAAGAGATAATATACATATTTGCCCAAAGACATCAGAACAGTTCTAAAAGATCCTTGAAAAGCTCAGCTACTTGAATTTATTTTCCTATTGAGAGATCTTCTTGGTAAGTGATGCACATCATTACTTGACTGTGTTTACATAATTTGCCATACTGGTAGCGGAAGAGAAATGTAGGGGTTGCTGGGAATAAACTGTTGGCATAGATATGCAGGACTACAGGAATCACTCAGAATGTTCCAGATCGTCTCGCTTGAGTGTGAAAAAAAAAAGCAATAAAACAGATTTCAGATAAGCTAATGAGTGTTAAGATTTGGGAGTAAATATGGCAGAGCTGAAAACCCATGTCAGGATCAGAGATCTTTAGAAATATAGTTGAAGCCAAGGGGGAAATGAGGATGTTAAAGCTGTAACGCTTGTTTTGTTCGTATCCGAACACTAGAAAATGACTCTAATTGGACGTATGAACACTTCTTTCACTCACAGGTAACTTAGATTCAAAAGGCACAATGGAGGAAAAAGTTGAAATTGAAATGTCTCTAGTCATTTCTTCCTCATTCCCCCAGTAAAATACAAGAAGACTGGCATTAATTTATTACTACACAGGAATAGTGGGATTTAGCTTATAAAACATCAGGTCTGGTTGGGCATGGTGGCTCATGCCTGTAATCCTAGCACTTTGGGAAGCGGAGGCTGGCAGATCGCCTGAGGTCAGGAGTTCAAGACCAGCCTGGCCAACATGGTGAAACCCCATCTCCACTAAAAATACAAAAATTAGCCGGGTGTGGTGGTCCATACCTGTAATCCCAGCTACCAGGGAGGCTGAGGCAGGAGAATCACTGGAACCCAGGAGGCGGAGGCAGAGGCGGAGGCTATAGTGAGCTGAGATCGTGCCACTGCACTTTAGCCTGGATGACAGAGTGAGACTCCGTCTTTTTTTTTTTTGGCAGGGGAGAATGGGGTCTCGCTGTATTGCCCAGGCAGGTCTCAAACTCCTGGGCTCAAGCTATCCTCCCACCTCTGCCTCAAAAAATAAAAATAAAATAAAATAAAAATAATAATAATCAGGTCTAACCATATTAACTATGTACAATTCTCTGAATATTCCATGAATTTTTTTATTTTTAATTTTTTCATGAGTGTAAGTACATGTGACTTTCAATGTGTCTTGATTATATGGTTCCTCCTGTGACCTACTATCTTCTTTTACTCATCCTTTAGGTTTTAGTTAAAACAGAACAAATGAGTTATACACTGCACTCCTTATACCTAGTTTCTAGGTATGGCAGGGATTGACAAACTGTGTTCAAATGTAGCTGCCTGCCTGTTTTCTTTTTTTCTTTCTTTTTTTTTTTTTTTTTTGAGATGGAGTCTTGCTGTGTTGCCCAGGCTGGAGTATAGTGGTACAGTCTCGGCTCACTGCAACCTCCGCCTCCTGGGTTCAAGCAATTCCCCTGCCTCAGCCTCCCAAGCAGCTGGGACTACAGGCATGCACCACCACGCCTGGCTAATTTTTTGTATTTTGGTAGAGACGGGGTTTCACCATGTTGGCCAGGATAGTCTCCATCTCCTAAGCTCGTGATCTGCCTTCCTCCACCTCCCAAAGTGCTGGGATTACAGGCATGAGCCACTATGCCCGGCCCTGCCTTGTTTTTGTCGTTATAAATTTGCTGGACCACAATGAGCTCATTTGTTTACGTATTGTCTATGGCACTTTTGCACTTTATTGGCAGAGTTGAATAGTTGTGACAGACACTGTCCGGTCTGCAAAGCCTAAAATATTTGCTATCTCACCCTTTACTGAAAAAATTTGCCAACTCTGGTGGTAATAAGAGAGAGACTTTTATTTCTCATTTTATATGTCAAAACAAAAAATACGCAATGGGATGATTTGTGTGTGTGTGTGTGCTTTTCTGTATATACACTTTTTCTCTAAAAATATTTTTAATTAAAATATTTTAAAGTCTGCAGCTCAAATTATATTTCTGTGAAGGCTTCTATCATGGTCTGCCTCCTATGTTTCCAGAGAGGTATTAGAGTTTTCTATATTAGTAGCTATTATATTGCATGGCAATTACTGTTTCCATGTCTGTCTCTTAGACAAGCCCATGAAACTTCATAATGACAGAGACTGAGCCAATTATTTTTTTTCTAGGGGCTAATCAAGAATACGATGGTTTTACAGCATAATGAGAGAAAATGCTTCTTCACCTTTTCACAAAGTTTTACAAAGTATTTTAGTAACGATTATTTATCTTCCAGTTTTTGCTCAAATATTACCTAATCAGAGAACACTTCTCTGAATACCCTATATAAAAGAATAGCCAATTACACTCTAATCCCTTTATTTCATTTTTTATTTTTTAAAACCAATTTTATTGCATTTATTTAGGGTATAAAACATGAGGTTGTTGGATACATAAATAGTAAATTGGTTACTCTACTGAAGCAAATTAACATATCCATCATCTCACATAGTTACCCTTTCATTGTGACAAGAACAGCTAAAATCTACTCATTTAGCAGAAATCCCTAGAACAGTACAATTTTTTAAAACTATAATCCTCATGTTATACATTAGGTTTCCGGACTTGTTCATCCTATATATCTGCTACCTTTTTTTTTTCCCCCTGAGATGGAGTCTGGCTCTGTAGCCCAGGCTGGAGTGCGATGGCACGATCTTGGCTTACTGCAACTCCTGTCTCCCGGGTTAAAGCGATTCTCCTGCCTCAGCCTCCTGAGTAGCTGGGGTTATAGGTGCATGCCACCATGCCTGGCTAATGTTTGTATTTTTAGTAGAGATGAGGTTTCACCATGTTGGCTAGGCTGGTCTCGAACTCCTGACCTCAAGTGAGCCGCCAGCCTCAGCCTCCCAAAGTGCTGGAATTACAGGCGTGAGCCACCACGCCCCATGTCTGCTACTTTTTATCCTCTAACCTAGATCTCCTCATTTCTATCCCACTCCTCCCCTGCCCCTAGCA